AAAAATAGAGCTACCCTACGACCCAGCAATTGTACTACCAACCAAAGATAAAAATGTAGTGACCCAAAGAGGCACCTGCACCCCAATGTTTATAGCAGCAATGTCCACAACAGCCAAAGTGTGTAAAGAGCCCAGATGTCCACCGACAGATGAACAGATAAAGATGTGGTATAAATAAATAAATACACACACACACACACACACACACACACACACACACATAATGGAATATTACTCATCCATCAAAAAATGAAATCTCATCATTTGCAATGACGTGGATGGAACTAGAGGGTATTATGCTAAGTGAAATAAGTCAATCAGAGAAAGACAATTATATGATTTCATTCATATGTGGAATCTAAGAAACAAAACAGATCACTGAGGAAGGGAAGAAAAAATAAAACGAGGAGATCAGAAGGGAGAAAAACCATAAGAGACTCTTAATCTCAGGAAACAAACTGAGGGCTGCTGGAGGGGTAGTGGGTGGGGGGATGGGGTAACTGGGTGATGGACATTAAGGAGGGCACATGATGTAGTGAGCACTGGGTGTCATATGTGACTGATGAATCACTGAGCTCGATCTCCAAAACGAATAATACACCATATGTTAATTAACTTAATTTAAATAAAATACAATTAAATTAAAAGAAAAAAGAAGAGACCCTGTCCTTCTATCCTGCTGGGTGGTGGCAGTGTCAAGTTTTTAAAGCAGTGGAAATAAACACAGTCTATCCCGGCCTGCCCCGGGCCTCTTTCCACCCTCCTGCAGACCTATAAGGGTCAGCCTGGGCCCCAGCCTGCTCTCTCCTTCCTGGTGGAATTCCCCAGAAACAAAGTAACCATTCTGAGGTTACCCATGGCAGAGTGGGCAGGACATTCTCAAATAATTTCTTCCTAACCACTAAAGGCTAGCACCTCCCAGCCTGTTGAGTTGGACAGGCAATCTGTCTTCATTTCTGAATGTCCCCTCAGAAGAACAAATCTGTTACACTCTGGCCAACACATTTCTAAGGAAATGAAATAATGCGATCTGACTAAAATGTCAAATTCTAATATTGAACAAGAAACGGAGTAGACGCAGCGAGAGAAGGAACATGCAGGAAACCCTTTTGGCAATTCAGCCCAAAAGCTGCCCTCCGTGCACTTCCACGGAAATGACAGATACCCACACCCGCCCTGTGTCTGTGATTCCCCTCAGAAAAGATCACCCGGCCCAGAAAAGAGCCTGCTCACAGCCAGCATGGAACGCGCCCCCCGCTCCACCGGCCTTCAGACTGCTGAGGCGAACATTTCAGAAGGGAAATAGAGCAGAGCCAGATTTCCCAGCCATGTGAAAACTGAGAGGGAGAAGCTTCCAGCGCCCCAGGATCCTAACCTCAGCTGATGTCTGGCTCCTCAGGCCAGGCTGCCAGGGCCCCTCTCGCCTCAGCACCAGAGAAGATTTCCTCAGAGTGCAGGATGGTCCCCAAATGAGCTCCCCTCCCTCCCCAGCAAGCTCCAGCAAGTTCTTGCTGTCTGGGGAGTGGACCTGATCTCCAACCAGACCTGAGGCGTCTGAGGGATCCCCCCACTGGGCCGGGGCCAGGCTGGGGAGGCATCTACCGTCCTGTGCTTTCAAGTGAGAAAGATAATAATGGAAATAGCTAATATTTGTAAAGAACTGACTAAGCCTCAGTCACTGACGTAAGCACTTTACATGCGTTTTAAAACTGTAATTTGCATGACGTGGGTCCTATTGTCCCCATTTGACAAGCAAGGCAACAGGCCCTTTTCTCCTTTATCAAAACCAAACCCTTCCCAGGTAAACAGTGGAATGGACATGGCCTCTGGAGCTCAGGATGCCTCCTCCTATTATTCAGTACACCCTGATTAAATACATTTCTTCTTGGAACGGATCTGCTATGGAATCAGGGCACTAAGGGACGAAGAGATCAGCTGATCAGCTTCCTAGAGCAGCAAGGGCCAGATTCCGGAGGCGACGTCATGCAATCCATGGCGCTCAGACGTAGGCCAGCAGCTGAGGTGGATTCTGCTTGGCCCCTTCTATCTTCCTTTTCTCCACAGGCCCGTGGGCGGTAGGGGTCGGGGTCCCGCCCCATCCCCTCCTAGAAGCTTCCACCCTCTCCCCTTCCTGCCCAGCTACATCTCGGAGAGTGCTGTGGCCGGGGCTGTCTCAGTCTCCAAGGGGATGGGTGATTTATGCCCTTTTATTCAGCAAGCAGCTTTGTACAGAACGGACGAGACATGCTGAATGTCACCAGGCGGGGGCAGGGACACTGTGCAGAATCCCAATGAAGCCTTATTGGCCTGGGCAAAATGGCACTGGTGACTTTGTTATTGTGTGTGTTCTCTGGTGGGCGTAAGGAAGAGGCAGCAGATGCCCAGAGGTGGCGGGAGAGCTGGCTTGAGTGGCAGGGAACCCCCCCGAACCCCAGCATCTGGCTCCCCTGTGAGTGCCTGCCCCCTTCCTGCCTCCCATCTCCCACTGACACCCTACAGGAGACAAGCCAGGCAGGCGGCAACTCGGACTTGGGTGAAGAGGGTCCCTTCGGTGCTGTTTCTGTGCAGAGGCTGGGTGTGCCGGCGAGTAAAGCACAAGGGTCCAAGCACCCACTGGGGCGGAGGGGGCTCAGCTCTGCACTCCACTCTCCTGACACCCCTAGGCCTGCAGGAGGTTCCCTGTCTCCCTTTCCACTCTCCTGCTCATCTCTCCCACTGACACCAGGGTCTGTGAGTTCCCCTGAGGCCACGGCCACGCCTGCTCCTCCCTGCCCCCATCCCGCACTCGCAGGGATGCCCAGCGCAGCCTCATTCCCAGCCCGGAGCAGGCACTGCTGTTTGTGGCAGGAACCGTGAGCTCCTGGCTCTGGAGCCCACGGACTGCTCTGGGATGCCCCGGTGGCCTGACAAAGCGTGGTCTTGACCTTTAGGGCGAACGATTCTGCAACCATCCCAGTGTGCGATGATGACACCGAGGAATACGTAAGATCTCAGGAGTTGAAGGGACCTTGGAGATCGCACAGCCCGACCCTCTCGCTCGCTTTCCAGGTAAGGAAACCGAGGCCCAGAGGAGGCCTCCCAGCAGGAGAGGAGCAGAGCCAGGGTTCAGAGCCGGCCTGGTCAGGAGCAGCTCTCTCTTGCCACCACACTGTTCCCTCATCCCTAGCCTGCTCCCCACCTCAGCTGCCAGCTCAGTCCCAGGCTCCCAGCGGCGCCCCTCCCCACGGGGGGGGGGCTGCCTGTCTCCAGCCCACACACTCGGTCTCCCAGGGAGGATGGCAATTAGTTAGCATTGTGCTGCCGGTCGCCCGCACCACCGGGGCTGCCGGAAAACTGTGTGTTCCCAGTGCACCAGGTCACCGTGGACCTAGCAGGTCAGAATTTCAGGGCCAGGCCACATGGCGACTGGGGATGGCAGAGGAGACTGGGGAGGTCAGGGCTGGGAGTGAAGGAGGAAGCCACCCCCCCCCCAGCAGAGCGACAAAGCAGGGTCCCCCAGGGGCGCGGGGAGCCAGGAGAATGAAGCGTTGAGGAGAGCACACGCCCACTCACCCTCCCACGGAAACAGGGGGTGGGGGGCGGGAGTGAAACGGGGACAAAAGCAAATGAAAAGGCCAGAGAGATGAGCTAGATGGAGGGAAAGCCTGTGCGGAAGGAGACAGAGAAAACTTGATCTTTCTCCTCTTTCTATCATTTCCTCAGGGCATCCCTTCAGGGCACCCTACCCAGCAGGGCTGATGCTGAGGAGAAAGGGGGGTGGCGAGGGAGTGGGAGAAGAAAGGAGGAAGGAAGCACACTTATCCATTCATTTTCCTCTGCAAGACCCTCAGAGCATCTTAAGCACTAGTGGGGGAGGGTCTGATTGTTCAAATAGGGGGGGATTGAGTTCCGTCAACTAAGGGGCGAAATCCTGGGATTTCAAGGTCCCTCAGATGTGTCCAAGCCCCTGCTCTTCGGACTGTACTCAGTTAGACTGAGTGGATTCAGGAACGTGACAGGGATTCCAGAGGACAACGGGACGACCCCTCATAATCCAGCCCCCTCCAGTCCACGGGCAGGGAACCACAGGCCCCCAGGGTAGGGACTTGTCCAAAGACACAGCACCAAGACTACTGCGTAAACAGAAGCCAGGTCTCCAACTCCTGCTCCAGGCACAGTGACCGTCTTGCCAGTTAGGCTGCTCCCAAACCCTCGGGCAGGAGCCCCCTGTCCCTCCTACAGCAGCCCCTTGCTGCTCCAAAAGCAAGACAAAAGGGAGAGATTGTTTCAGAACCCCCGAGAAACACATCGGCTGACTTCCCAAGGAGAAAGCAGGAGAGAGGTGGGGCGGCTTCCAACAGCACGGTGACCTTCGAGAATGGGGTCTGGAGCAGCCTTCAGAGGGCCTCACCCTCTCTCTCTGCCAGGGGCAAGGTGGCTTCGAGGCCCCAAGGATGTCACCCCAGACCCGGCGGCTCTCACCTGCCCACGCCTCCGCGTGAACAGAGCCAAGAGCACTAGCGAAGCCAAGCCCCCATCCTGCCCACATCTGTTGATCTTGGTGGTAAACGTATGTTTATGGAATCACTGCATTTTCTTGCTCTAAAACCCTTCCATCTAACTCCCTTTTCCTGACTTGTGTTTGCCTCCACCAATATGAAACTGAGCCCACACGGGGAGCAAGCCAGCCAGTGGGGGCTCAGGGGTTGGGCAGACAGCAGCAAGGTGGTGGGCTGAGGGTCCTGTTCACCAGGCAGAGATAGCCCCCGTGTAGACCCAGTCCTCCTCTCTGGCCCCAGAGGGTAGCAGGGAGGGAGGCCTTTTCGTCTCCTTCGACCATTTCTATACCCCTGGTGCCTTCAGTGGGACCCAGCCCGGAGCCCGCTCAGTAAATGTAGGACCCCAGGAGGGGGAAACAGAGGCTGGTCAAGATACATCGACGGGCCCAGACTCCAGGGGTCCTGTTCCCTCCCCTGTGTCCTGTGGGACCCTGGGCCATGCGTGGCGAGAGGGGCACTCACTCCAGCACATCGCGGTTGAACTGCTTCTTGCTGTTGCCTAGGAACTCCCCGATCATCTGCCGGCTGAGGCCCTTGCGCTGGAGCAGGAAGTGGGCCACTCCGATGGGGGTGTCGGGGATGAAGCCTCGTGAGATCAGGAACTGGATGCCTTTGTCTGGGTTTCTGGGGGTGGGAGTGGAGGTGGGAAGAAGAAGTATAGAGTGAGCCAAGGCTATCCACGACTTCTTTCCTCCCTTTCTTCCAGCCCAGGGAAGCCACAGAAGTGCCTGGAAATTTCTGGGAAGAATTCCACCGAAAAGCCAGGATTCCTTCCGCTGCAGACGAGCTCCCTGTCCCAGGGGCTTCGCCTAGGAACCTCGTCTTCCTGAACACCCCCACCCCCCACACCAATACACACACAAGGAGTGAAGATAGCACAGGGAGAGAAGGAGTTAGAGAGGTCTGGCCAGATGAAGAGAATTCCAGAGCAAGTAGAGAGGTTTCTTTTTGTCTTCCCTGAAAGGCCCGGAGGCTTGCCACGAAGGCCCTTCCTCCCTGTCTGTGTTCTGTCATCTGTACGCAGTACTCGCCCCAGAAGCAGGGCTCTGGGGAGCAGAGGGGAGCTCTCCCACCGCACTGGCCACAGAGGACACAAGAATCCTGCCCTCCATCATTCACTTTCTCAGGCTCGAGTCTCTACGTGTGGATGTGGGTGCTGTGTTTTTAGGCAAATGTGCTCACAGTATGGCCTGCAAATCCATGCTGTTCCCTGAACTGTATCTGACCCGTTCAGGAAAAGCTAAGTACAGAAACAGAGGGCAAGCGTTTAGAACCTTTTATAGCACTCTGACATTTTCAGGATAACCAAGCATGTGATTGTTTTTCTAGCAACTCATTTTTATTGCATTTCACAAAAGTATCAGCCACCACTTAGTGGGTAAGAACCCAGACTGGTCCTTTACTACAGAGAGTTTGAGAACCACTGTCTTGAGGGATCCCAGGGTCTGCGTGAGTGTGAGCGCACAACTCGCCTTACTTGTGTGAGCCTGCTTCCTTTCCGTAAAATGGCATAATAAGGCCATCTCTAGATATTGTTAGGAAGTTTGCAGATGTTTTATATAAGGTGAGCCGGGAATAGTAGCTGTTCCTCCCTGGAATAGAAGTTTCTGGAGACCAGGGGATGTGTCCTACTCATCTCCATAGTCAACGTGCCCGGCATTCAATAAGTAACAGTTGAGTGAATAAGTGAACGGACACATGGCTGGGAGAGATGTTCAATTTCCTGGCTCGGGGCTCTGAAGGAAGGGGTGAATGGAGGGTGGAGACGGGATTTCCACGGGAGGGCTGCGTGTATACTGCTGGCCCCCTCTCTCTACATTCTAGTTGCAAGGACAGTTCTGGCTGGGGCTCTGGCTGGGGACTTTGAACCAAAACCCTTGTTCATTTTTCTGCTTTCCTTCTCCTGTTCTCTTCTGTGCCACCTCTGTGTCCTTGTCGCCCCCTTTTATCCCCGTCCCTCTCCTGCCTTTTACCTGGATTCCTTATGCTAGGTCTCTTCTTTCTCACCCATCCAGGGCCTCCCTTGCCTTTCCTCCTTTTCCTCCTTGCTCTCTCCTTGACATCATCCCCCTGAGACGATGCTGTTTCCCTGGCTTCGGGTCTGCTTGAAGGATTTCGGCTCAATCCTCATACGACCTGGACTATTACTTAATACTGCATTTTCTTTTCAATTCCCTTGCTTTCCAAGCCCTAGTAAGCAGGAATAGTACTGAAAGCATGGGCTTGATGTGTTGTCTTGTCCCTAATCCTGAACATAAATTTGTTAACCATTAAAAAGAAAACATGCATCCCTACCCAGCACCTCGAGGAGCAGGTACAGCACAAATGTCACCAGGCAGGGTGCTGGGATGATGCAGGAAATCAACCTGTACCCTGCTCACCTGTCATTGTAGCCCCTGCCCCTTACCCGCAGACCAAGAGCTTCCCGGGTTGCCCCAGAGCTCCCCAGTCGGTGCTCACTCACATGTTGAAAAGGTTGAGGCCGATGCGATAGAGCCGTTTGCGAAGGGTGTCGGTGGAGAGCGTGGGCGACTTGCAGCTGGCGGGGTTCTCGCAGTGGTAGCGTGGCAGGCTCAGGATCATGGCCTGCAGGGCCTCCTTGGAGGCTGAGGCTGACGCTTCGGAGCCCGACTTGGCCGACTTGGTGGACGTGCTGCTGCTGCTCAGCGGCTCCGAGTTGTCGCCGGCTTCGGCCTCAGTCCCTTTCCCCACCTCCCCGGTCCCCTCCTCCGCTGCCTCTGCCTCCGCTGCCACTGAGGCCCCCTCCGCCACCGCCTCCACTGCAGCCCCAGGCGGGTGGGTGCTCGGGGCCCCGCTGGCTCCGGCCTCTGCGCCCGTGTTTTCGGCGGGCACGTCCCCCTGAGCCGCGGTTGTGGCCGCCGAGGCCTCCTGCCCCGGGGCCTCTCCGTGCTCGGCTTTGCCCGCCGCGGGCTCCGTCGGGGTCTGGGCGGTCTGCGTGCCCAGACAGTTGGCCACCGACAGAGCCGTGGCAGAGGAGACAGAGATGTTCTGGTTGGCGATCTGCACGGTGACGTCCCGGAAAGCCATCATGAGGGTGCTGCCGTGGCCCTGGGGCAGGCCGGCGGCCTCGGCGGTCTCTTCCCCAGGCGCGGGCGCGGGGCGGGCACTGTCGAGCTCCCGCATCTCGGCCTCTAGGCCTGGCGGCCCCGCGCCCGCGTGCAGGGCCTGGTGGAGCTGGTAGGCGCCGCTCTCCTGCAGGGAGCACATGGTCTTGAGGCTCCAGGTGCTGAGCGCGTCGTCGATGGACTTGGCCAGGGACTGCACCTGCTCGGTGAAGGAGTCCTCCAGCTCGGTGAGCGTGCCCGCAAAGGTGGGCGGCAGGGAGGGCGAGCGCACCAGCGGCAGCCCCATGAGGCCGTAGCCCTCCATGAGCGCCTTCTCGGCCGCCAGGCTCTCAGCCGTGGGCGCGCGGACTTTGCGCAGAGAGATCCGTCGCGGCAGACGGCTCTCCAGGAGCGAGTTGCGGATCTTCTCGAAGTTCTTGCTGAGCTGGTACTGGCGGAAGGCGGTTTGGATGGTGCAAGCGGCGCGCCGGGACACGAGGTGGCCCCCGTACTTGTGTTCTAGCATTTCAATCTGCAGCAAGAACAGAGAAGAGGAAGAGTGCGGTGAGGCCTGGGGTGGGGTGGGGGGGGCGGCGGGGGGGCGGGGTGGGGGGGCGGGGACTAAAGGGCCGAAGTCTGAAACTCCAGCATGTCACGGCCTGGGATACCAGATCCTTGTCAAGACTCTTAGATGTGTAGGATGTAGGACTGGCTTCCCAGCGGTTGGCAATTTTCGGGGAGGGGGGGGCGGGCAGAGGTCAGGGCGTTGCATTTGGGGATCAGATAGCTGCTGTTGCAGTGTTTGTTTTAAAACGTTCATATCAGAGATCTGTATGGAAGTCCTTATGGGTGAAATACACGGGATCTTGAGTTTGTATTAAAATACTCCATCAAAAAAACTGGAACCGTTAGAGGAAACAATATTAACAAAAATTGTTGGAACTGGGGGGTGGTTATCTGCAAGTTTACTACACTATTCTTTCTACTTGTGTGCACATTTAAAACAATAACAAATTAAAAATTAAACAGGAATGCTTTAAAAAATGTTGCTCCTCCCGTTCACCTTTCTTCCTCATCACTGCATTGCGGAAATTTCTGACCCTGGGATCATCATAAGGGGATGATTGGGGATTGATCAACGTGTTCCTGATACCCAGCCCAAGGGCTGGCACATAGTAGATGCTCAATAAATGTGAATTTAATAGATGGAGGACAGAGGAGTGGGTGGACGGATATTTCAAGAATGGGAGTCCCTCCAGGCTACCATGCTCCATAATTTGGGCCACCTCTGTTCCCAACAACAGGAGCTGTACAATCAGGGCGGGGCTGGGTGGGGCTGGTGGGCACTTATTACCTCATGTGGGCAGTGTGAACCCAGGAAAACTTGTGACAAGGGACCCGTGTGTCTTCTAGGCCCTTACTCGCCTCCTTCCAGCTCTGTCCTCCTGCTGTGGCTGTTTCTCCCCATCACGTGGCAATGCTCTCACTCTTTTTCCCTTATCGAAACCTCTTAGGAAAGAACCAGAGAGACTTTCCCCCTGTGGCCAATAACCTTTAGCCACATTGGCTCACCAGCGGCTGGGCTCCCTCCCTGTGGGTGCCCCCCTACCCCTGGACCAACAGAGGCACACTTCTAGCCCAGGAAATCTGACAGGCACAACCCCAACCCCCAGGGACGATCCCGGGTAAAATGGCATGACCTCAATCCTGTCTTCGGTTCTTCCGTCTCGCCATTCAGGGCCCTTCCCCATCCCCAGACCTAGTGGCCTTATGCTTTCTATCTTCCTCAGTCTGGCTGTCCGCTCTGAAGATAGGGGGGAAACTGAATCTCACTAAGATTTGAGTGGCCAGTAGGTATCCTAAGTTCAGCTGCTTGAGATTCCAAGGCTGAGGCCCTTAGTCACAGCTGCCTGCTGTTCTCTGCCACATGGTATTTTGGCCCTTTGAGGCCAGCAGGAGAGTGACTCTGTTGCTTCACCTTCTTTTAAAGGGTTCACCTGATTCGGTCAAACCGCCCGGGATGATTTTCCTTTGATTCACTTAAGGTCAACTGAGTGGTAACCTAATCACAGGAGGGATACCCTATTATGCCCTGTAGTCCCACGGCACTTCCCATGGAAGGGAATTATACGGATGTGAGCACCAGGGGGGCGGGAATCTCGGGCTGTCTGAGTTCTGCCTCCCGGAAGGTTCCGACAGTTGCCTACAGGGTTTCATCATGTACCCAGGATCTCCAGAGAAAGAGAAACTCCCCATATCTCAGAGGCATTTCGTTGTTGCTTTCACAGAAATCATGTCAGAGGGGAGAGATCACTGTGGCTCAGCTCAGTGTCGCCGCAGAACTCTGGCAGGTTCCCTGAGGTCTGGAATGGCCAATAGGCCTTAACGAGGAAGGAGAGCCCTCCAAGGTGCAAACTGAGGGGAGGTGACCACTTAATTGCCTCCTTCTGTCAATTTCTGTCTAGGGGACCAGGAGAAACAGACACCAGGCAGAAATTCTTACTTCTTTCCAACCTGGCCTACTCACGCTTTGAGGGAAACCCTAGCCCCAAGAGCATTCTCTTTAGGTTATGAGATGCTATTGGCAACAGAGGGAAGGTATGAAATCCCATTGCCTGAAATGCTTCCAGAATGGGAAAGATGTCCATTCCCCTAGCACGGTATCATCCTACCTGGAGACAGAAGGCTGAGCTAAGCCTAGGAGACTTCTACCAGCCAGTGTCCTAGTGTCACCCAAGCAGAGAAGAAAACCAGATTTTGAATATCTTGAATCTATTCCCATCAAGTTCTCCACTAGACTGTAAACCCCACGAATGCAGAGACTCTACCATGTTCACTCCTTTATCCCCAGTGCTTAGAGAGCGCCCAGCACACAGTAGGACTTCAGTAGATATTTACTGAATACATTAAAGAATTAATTGCAAAGTTATCTTTGTGACTCTCAAAAACGCCCCTAACCTAACCCATAACTTTCTTCTCCTGGAACTGATGTATTTCACTTGCATTTCCGAACTCTATTGTGTCACTGGCTCCTTTCCCCCTGCCTACAGACCCTCCCAGATCTCCCCAGGCTAGAACATAACTCCTCTTGACTTCACTGCTCTGGGGCACTGGCCCAGTCTCTTTTTTTCTGTTTGCCACCAGACCTCTTGGAAGACTATACCCTCTGCCTCCTTCCATGAACAAGTACCGAACAGCCAACCCAACCCTGTATGCGCTGACTCCCCAGGGTCTACCTCCTGCTCCCACCAGTCTTCTAAAGTGACTCTCAGGAAGGTCACCAGAGACCTTTAATCATGAAACCTGATGGTCCATCCTCCACTCTCCTTCTCCCCCTTTTCCACAGTTCTTGGTATTTTTATCACCTTGAGACTCCGTCCTCAGCTCTCACGACCCAGTCTACCTTGGTCTGCCTGCTCCCATAGCCCTTTCATCCTATATTCTGACCGAGAAACCCCTACGAATGTCAGTTACGAGTCCCACGTGGGCCATCTTCCACTCTGCAGACACATCTGAGCCCTTCCGGACATTCCGTGACTGCCATGTTGGACGTCGTCAGAGCAGCCTCTGGTAACTGATAATTAGGCACTAATTAAGAGGGAAGCTGTCTCAGGCAGAGCCTTTGTGGCAACATCTACAGGCTAATGTCTTCTCACCTCTTATGTGAGAACCTTGTTTCCTATCATAACTTCACTCTGCTTTAATGGACTGATGAACAAGCCTTAGGAGAGACATTCAGGCCCAGATCTGCTTCTTCCCTGCTGGTTGACCTTGAGCTAGTTTCCTAACATCTCTGATTCTCCACTTTCTTATCTGTTAAATGAAACTAATCCTGCTTACCCTGTACCTTGTTATGAGAGTTGAATGGTTTCGTATAGCGCTTGGCACATAATAGGTATACAGTAAGTGGTAACTATTTGATGACAATGATGATGATGGGAATGACTCTCAAATTTCCATTCCGAGGCTTGATCCTAGACTTGCATTTCCAACAACCCACGGATCCCCCTGTACACCTATACAAAGCCACTGTCTTCCCCCACCTCCCTAAACCAGCTCTCGATGACTTCTTTGTTTGCATACAGAGCCTTGGCTGTTACATTCTCCAGGCTGGGAAACTTGCATTTGACTATGGGTTCTCCTTCACCCCGGCCTCTGCGTTTGTCAGCCTCAAAGCCTTTATTCCACGCACCCCCCACCCCAATACCTTTTGCATCAACCTGACCCGACTGTTGCCATGTGAGGCTGTCTTTGACTCCCCACTTGGACCCTTCTGGCAGCCTCCCCACTGCCTCCCTGCTTCTTGCTCACACCTACCATCCACCCTACATAACCCCGATCAAGGGTCTTGAAAAGCCGATGTGAACACAGGCTTTGCACTGCTTGAGAGCATCACCCAAAATAAGTATAAGTGTTTCCTGCTGGCCTTCCGACCCTGAGCAATCTGGCCTCAGCCTCCCTCCCATCTTCTACTCCTACGCCAAGCCTGTGTATACACTGGCTGGACTCCTGCGCTTCCCCCAGGGCACGCTAGGCTTTCCTGCCCTGAGCATTTGCTCAGCCTTGTCACTCAATCTGCAGTATTCTTCCCTTTCTTCGAGACCTGCCTCCAGTGTGCTTCCTCTGTGAAGCCTTCTCAGTCCCCCTACCCGATGGGGAGCTCCCTATTTCAGGCGCCCATGGAGAACGTTGTTTCTTACTTCTCTCTTACACTCAGTTCTCTCCACTCATCTTTGGGATATTTATTTAACCCACCCTTCTCTCCACCTCACCACCCCAACTCGAACAGAGCCGAAGTTATTCGAGCCCTCTGATCCCTGCCCAGCACCCAGCACAGACCCTGGCAAGGAGCAACTGCTCACTCTGGTGTTTGAATTCAATTGTTGGATCTTCTCCATTTGTTCCAGCGCATTTAACACAACCATCTCCCATTTATCCCAGCCTTGTGCCTGCACTGTCCCCCACTGTTTCTTTCCCGTCCTTTGTAGCCCACCCTCTGTAGCCCCACAAACTGTACCTTACAGACAGGATAGTATTATGTCTCTACATTCCTAGGGCCCAGCATCGAGCCAGAGCCATGGCTGGGGCTTAATAAATGTTTGCAGACAGGAACTAAACTGAACTCTCTCCTATATCCCAGGGAAAATAAAAATCTAGGCTCTCTTCCGGATCTGGGCTTGGAGTCAAATGCTGCAAGCTCCCCTTTCCCTCCACTATCTCGCCCCCAACCAGGGCTTGGGAACTTGGCAGTGTCCCAGATCAGCTCTGTCTACCCAGCCAGGTCCTCCCAAGCACCCTAACGCTTTTCTTTTCTTAACCGGGGCCAGATTAGAGAGCTAAGAGAGATGGACACGGGGGTGGGGGGAAGTGGGGGGTGGGCCTAGGGAGGGAAGGTCTCTGGGCCCACTGGCCTAAGAGCAGCTCAGCTCACTTCTCTCTAAACCCCATGAATCATGGGTAATTGTAGCCTCGCCTCCTCCCAAGAGAGCAATCTCTCAGCTTCTGCAGGGAGAAGCGGTGGAGGGGGGCTCG